TCTTTTCCAAAAGTGTTATTTCTTTCAGAAAAAAAATAATATTAATAAAACGCCCGAAATATCACAGCTTTGACAACGCTTCACGTGTGTGAGGTTCAATGAATGACAGAGAAACCTCCGCTGGCCGTACTCCTGAAGCGGGGAAGTGCCATTTATGGAGACCGATCACCTTATCAGAAAGATGCACACAATCCAGGAAAAGTATTCTTGCAACCATGAGGTTCCGGTTGTACTTACACATGCATTATCATCAAATTTAAGGGAGTTTCTGCAAACACTAAAGAATTGTCAAGAGTAAAGATTACAAAAGAGAATATCAGCAGGAATCTATTGTTTATTCAAAACAAAACAAGCATAAAAAAAACGCATTTAGGCGGCCGGGGCGGCCAGAAACACGGACTGCGCGCACCCGGCGTGGAACCAGCGAATGAGGGGGCACTCCTGGCAATTAGTTTTCAGAGCCACGGTATGCCAGCTGCCGGCCCAATATCCACTTTAATTCTGTTATGGCTTTCGACAGGTAAGTACATGCTCGAGAATTTTCAACAATATCACGCGAGCGCCAGCCGGCCTGTAGATCAGCGCATCATCACGGCGCAAAGTAACGATATCAACGCCAGCACGCGCGTGCGCAGAAGAAACGCGCCAAAGTCGCCGTCATCTGCTGTGCTGTTTCCCCAATTACGACCCACCCCTGACGCGACGCCCACCGCTAGCTCCGCCCCATAAACAGGCGACCTAAAGAGTAACCAAACCGTCACAAACGATACGCAAACACGAACAGCAGCCAGTACGAAGGACACCGACACGAGCTTAGTCAGCGAACGAAAAGAGAGACACAATCTTCAAGCTAGGCACACAGAGCAGGGATAGTTACAAGGATGAGAGGCATGCGCAGACGAAGGTGAACAATGCACAATAAATACGCGAAAACTCGCAGCAACCGAAGAACCACGCAGCAAACACGTACGTGCACACGGTCCAGAAGCACGTGTGTCACGCTGCGTATCGACGCGGAACTGGCGATTTTGGCATGTTGGTGATTTGAAACTTCGATGTCGATTGCGTGAACGATTGTATTCAGCAGACTGTGAATTGGTGGAGCCTGGCATAAAAAGAAAAATCGTTAGACAATATGAAAAGCGATTGAAAATCTTCCTAAAAGCTATATTAGCAGAAAGTACTGTGTTATAAAGGTCCACGCGAGTTTCGACCAAGTTTTCTAGCACGTTATTTTGCAAGAAACGCAAGAAACCGAGTGTACAACCTGTTTCCGAACCTGGCAACCACAGCTGGAATCAGCGCCATCCTTGGCAGTTTCCTGAACCTCGCGTAGTCACATTTCAGCCGCCACCACATAGAGGGCGCAACCAGACATCCAATTTATGTTTTCTGTATTTTTAATGATTTCGTTAATAATTAGGCACGATTAGCGAAAATATGGGCTAGTAATCAGGACCTGGAACAGTAAACTATTTCATACTAAAACTATCGGCCTAAATGTCTGCCAAAAGGGGTCAAAATACTGGTTTTTGACTATCAAAAATTCGCGATTTCGCCTGTTTTCAAACTTTTTTTTTTGGAAAAATCAAAGGTTAAATTTAGAAAAAGGGCCTCGGTTGACGAAGCAGAATATGTTTTTTTTTTTCGGGCCTACAATTTTATTCAACTGTGCCAATCCCTAAGCGCTGTACCACTGCACTACCAAATGAAGTTTGCCAAAATTAACTGTTTTTGTCAATTTTCACGTGAGCATTCCGAAAAAACGTTTTCGTCATATTATAATAAAATTTAGCATACCTTTTTCGACTATATATGCAAACACCTGTAAAAAGTTTCAAATAAAATTATAGAGTAGGCGCCAAAAGATTTGCGGCTGACTGTGCTTCCGCGAAGTCAGTTTTTCTAAAGTAAATATCTGTCAAAATAAAATAAAAAACGGAAAAAGGGCCTCGGTTGACAATGAAAGCACTATTCTTCTATAACGTTCTAAAATTTGAAAGAAATTTCTACAATAGTGCATCCTGCACCACTGTTTTACGAAACCAAGTTTTGCCGAAAAGACCAATATTCGCGGGTGCCCACTGAAATAGATTTTTGCATTAGGGAAACAAATCCTACATCAGAGGAAAGATAATGTTGCACACTATAAGATTATTAATAACGCATAATTTTAGCAAGCTTGAAAACGCCACAATTGCATGTCGAAAACCCGCGGAAAGTGTCATAGGCCATGGCCGAGTGGGACCGCAGCCTTAAATGGCGTATTTTCGTGACCTTGGTGTTCATTGGGGGCATACGTTGCCGCGATTTGTATTAATAATAATAATAATAATATTAAAGTTCAGATAGTTTAGTACGGAATTTTTCAAGCTCTAATCTAATTTGTTGCTTATGATCTAATTTCAAAACAATGAACAAATATGACTATTAAAAGTGTGCTAAATATCATCGATGGTTCCAATTGCCTCATTTTTAATTAGCGAGTAATAAAATAAAAATAGTCAAAAATTAATGAAAACATTCTAGCTAATGTGAAAAATCCATGTAATATTACATAGATTGTGGGTAAAGTATATTTTGCTATCAAAGTCGCGACTTTTGACAATCGGCAAAACGTCCAAAGTCACTGCCAATATCCTTCAATACCAAATGCCGAAAAGTAAATATATATATATATATATATTTTTTTTTCTAATTATTTCATAACATTTAGTTACTTTCATTTTTACGCTCCGTCGTTTTGCCAATCTCAGCCTTTCCTGTTCAAAGGAACGCCTACCTCATTGCACGTCTGCTCACTGCAGCACGTTTCGTTGGCGTTGGAAGCCGGTGAAACAGTAGTGAGTTTTAGTACTGCGTATACGAGCCAACGCAAGTGCTGTGTTCTTGCGTTAGCCTTGCGTGTTCCACACAGCACATGCGCAAGCGCAAAATTGCGGTCTTGGATGGCGCATGGCGATGAGGCACACGCACAACACGGGGCACGCAAGTCTAACGCAAACGCACAGCGCTTTCATTTGCTTCTATGCGCAATAATAAAACTCTCCAGCAAGGTACGATCCCATACCGGCTGCAGCACTACGTTAGGACAGTGAAGCGTGTTGTTTGCATCCGGAAATGACATTTGGCGAGCCCTGATTGCGAGCAGTTCTGCCCTGCCCGCTGAGCAGGAGAATCGGGGGACCCTCACTAGAGCGCTTCTCGTTTCCGCCGCGGGCAAGCGAGCGTCGAGCTGGAGACGCGAATACGTTTTGGCGCTAAAATGGCCGATCGAAGCCGAAATTGGACAGAGCTGCGGACGCTAGAGAAAGCTGTACCCTGGCTACAGCGAGAAGTCGCTACCGGCCCTTTGAACGAATACGTGCAGCCTTGAAGTTCGCTGAGTGGTTGCTGCGGGAGACATGGCGGTGACGCGATCGCGTTTAGTTTTTTTCTCGAATACTGACCAGTGCCACTTTTGAATGCGCAAGCATTAAACTTCGCATGGAGCGAGCCAATGTCATCAGCTTTGAAGCCGCCGCGAAACGGCACCTCAACTCTTTTCTCCAAGTGAAACCGGCTCCCAGCTTTGAAACCACGCGAAAAGCCTAGCGAAACGGCACCTAGTTTCCCCGATTCCAAAGGAGCGGAGTGAAGCTGATGGATTTTGGCTTCGGTCTCATTGGCTGGCGCGCGTCTAGTTTCATGGAACGAGGCTCGCATTTACCGCTGCGCGTCAGTTTCAACGACCTCCACCCCATTGCGCTGCGTGTCCGCGGCGTCAGCGCGCCGGTAATGGCCGATTCACACGACGGACTGATCCGCGGGCGGATTGATCACGTGACGACATGTCTGCGGTCCGTCCGTCTCCCAAGCGCATTCACACAAGGGAGACGACGAGCAGACGCCAGCGAGGACGGACCGAACCTGGTCGCCACCCCAGAGTGCCGCGAAACTCCAACATCGAAGAGTGGCACCGTTGTCCAAGAGAGAAATCGAGGTTTCCTACCGCGATAATGAATCGTACGCCGCTGTTATGTACAGATCAAGACAAAACACCGTGAAAGGCTTCGCGCGAAGCGCCAGTAGCTTTACTAACCCAAAGCATGAGAGTGACACAAGCATGGTCCTGTTCGAGAAGGGTTCCGCGTAGAAGCGACGAAGTGCATGGGCTCGCGGAGGGGAGTTTGAACTTTATAGATGCCTTCGCGCACTCCGTGCTCGTGCACAACACTCAAGTTCACCACAGCCACAAGAGAGGTCTTGCTCGGTGAAATCCTTATTGGACGTGCAAGACTTATCGCGGCGTGCTAGACGATTTTTGACGGGAGCTTCTTGACGCGGACCCGGAGGAATACCGGAACCTGCGTCGCGTCAGCCAGACAGTTTGTGCAGTTTCTTTCACACGTGGAACCAAGAAACGCGCGTCAAAATGAACCAGCAAACGCACAAAACACAACGATGCGCCAGTTTTGTTTTCATCGTGCAGAAACAAAAACAAACAACAAGAAAACAGTGTATTGTTGCCAGACTAAATGCTTTTCAAGTCAATCTCCCGCCAAAAATCCGCGAGTGAAAAAGGCTTTATCAGTTTGCGCGTCCACGGACGAGGAGCGGATCGCAGAAATCGGTGACGTGCTGGTCACGTGGTACACGGTCCGCGGACGAGGTTTTGAGGGACATGCCCTCCAGCGATGACAAAAATCTAACAAAACGAAAAGACGCTCTTGGACGGAAAGCACACCCGTGGGGGCTTTCTCATTGACCGCGCGACTTCCGGCTTCTCTCGGGATTTTCTGGTTCGGCTGGCTTGAGCGGGTATGTCGCCTCCCCTACTTTCTATTTTCTTGGCATTCTAGTATGGCGATTACGTCAAATACGGCTCGAGAGCTCCGCAGAGTTTTCTAATCGCATCGCTCCGTGCAAAATGTTTCTCTGCGCTGTCAAATGCACACGCAACTCGGAGCGCTCCCTCATGCATTCCTGTGCTCAATCCTTGAACGTCTCTCAATTGGCAGGTGCGGAGTTTCTCCCAGATCAAGTATGACCTCCGGGACGTGGACACCTTCTACTTGGAGCCCGGAGACACGCGGCTGGGTCGGCGGAGGACGCGGTCCTTCCACGCGGCCGACGAGCTGCGGGACGAGGACTACGACCGCGGCGGGGACGCCGACCGGGTGCCGGACGGTGCGGACCGCGCCGACACCCCTGCGCTCCAGCGGAGCAGGGCAGGGAGCAGTGCCAAACCGGTGTCGAGGTCCGAGAGTGCACCCAGCCTCGAAGGTGAGTGCTGTACTCTTCTCGCAGCCGTCGTCAGAACCGCCTTCACGAACCACCACTTTGGAAGCGGCTATTTGGATTTGAGAAGGGGGTGCAATTTGCCACACACCAACCTTCTGCTATCACAACATGGAAAAGACAGTCTGCAGACACAGTCTGAGGCATGCTTCTCGCTCATATGTCAGTCAAGTTGATCATGCAAAAACTGTCAGCAGACATGGGAGAAGCATACATATGTGTGAAACAAACTTGCGTCAAACACGCTTGAGGCGCGTTCCTCCGTAGATTATTCTGTCATCTTCAGCGAACAGCGTGTCTTGTACAATATGTGATCAGTGTGGCAGTACATTATTAATAACAAGGCCATTGTGCTGGAATTTCTACCTCATCTTCCATAGTCTAACGCGGCGCAGCGATCGGACACGAGTGGTGCGTCCTTCTCGCTGATTGTACGCGAGTTCCAGCCGAACACTGACGCGACACTAGCATCTAATCGCTGCGTCGCGTTGGCCTTCTGTAGGTGACGTTGAAAATCCAGCAATATGACCTCCTTGTTTATGAGGTGCTGGTCTGGCTTGTTGAAAGAAACTAAATAAAGGTTGTTCTCTGGGCGCCGCCATTTTGTGGCCTATTGCAAAGTGAGCCCAATCGGGGATAGTTACGATGAAAAATTCCGACTTCGTGAACATCTGGGTACACGGTGGGGAAGATCAGACAACCTCGTTTTGCTCTGTAGGGGACCGTTATAACATTTCTGCCGGGCGGAAGAGCGGTTCCCGCTATTCTACCGGGTGATTCAAGGAGACGGCCGGCTCTTTAAATCGACCGGAAAATTCGGTTCCTAATCTATCGCGCTACGACTTTGTGCAGCGTTGCCCACAGATGGTGAATTTTTTTTTTTTTTGTAAAATTTGCAAAGAGCGAATTTACCTGAGGAAAAAGTAAAGAAAGAAAAAGGCTTAAGTCCTATGGAAACGCAACGACGCCACCGGTCTTCAAACAACGCGGCGCCGTTTTGCACGGGACACAAGAGATGGCGCAACGAACGCCGCCAACGAACGAGCATACGGCGCCGAGAGCCAGCGTCTTTAGCAGACAATCTTTTCGACTCAAAAGCGGCGTGCGTTCGGCGAACGGCGACAGTCGCAGAAATAAAAACAGGCGCGGTAACAACTAGGGGTGTCGCGAACTTTTGTCGAACCAGATTTTTTGGTCGAACTTCCGGGGTTCGACTGAGTCGAACCGGTTCGACGAACCTTCGAACTTTTCACCAGATTCGACCGGTTCGACTTTATGGACAGTGTGGCCAGACCTTAATACAAGCATGTCTAGGTTTGGAGAATTTTTTTTTTTATGCAAGGGGTTATTTTATTTTGTGAACAGCTGCAATTAAAAGAAACTAATTCTAATCACTGAAGAAGTTAATAACTTAATTTTTAGTACTGTATTGACTGAAATAGCCGATCAGCGCTGCACTTAATTCATCTCTTAGCCATTACCATCCAATCCGAAGCCAACTGGCTAGCCTGTCGCGCATGCGCACACGAGTCGAACCTCAATACAAGGTTCGACGAACTTTCCACTAAAAGTTCGAAAAAGTCGAACCTGGTCGAACTCGAACCGCGACCGGTTCGCGACACCCCTAGTAACAACAAGGAACTGCAGTTCCTTGTCTGCTTAAGACGCCGGCTCTCGGCGTCGTCTGCTCGTTCGTTGGCGGCAGTTGGCGTCGCGACCGCTTGCGCCATCTCTTGTCTCCCGTGCGAAACGGCGCCTTGTTGTTTGAAGACCGGTGGCGTCGCTGCGTTTCCATAGGAGCTAAGCCTTTTTCTTTCTTTACTTTTTCCTCAGGCAAGTTCGCTCTTTGCAAATTTTACAAAAAAAAAAAAAAAAATGCACCATATGTGGGCAACGCTGCACAAAGTCGTAGCGCGATAGGTTAAGAAACCGAATTTTCCGGTCGATTTAAAGAGCCTGCTGTCTCCTTGAATCACCCGGTAGATGAAGCGTCGGTAACAGTGATTTTAACCAGCAAGATGACTCAAGTATCGACCCTTATATTGAAGCGTAGCTTGTGTATTGACTCTGCAAGGAATTCTGTCTGGAGCCGTAACATGTCTCCCCTGTTTTGGGTAGGTCTCAGTAAAAAGTTTTAGTCGATCGTTTTGGCTTTCCCGCTACGATATACGTTAGGGCGGCGACGCTACTGCGCATGCGCGCTGCTAGCGGAAACATTGCGGAGCTGAGGAAGCTAGCGGAGACGTGCTGTGCGAACAAAATAGCGAGCAGAGTAGCGCGGCGTGCAAGCGTGGGTCTCGCGAGAACGAGTCTTGGAGATATTAGGGAGAGCCATCGAGGGACGCAATTCAAAAAGGCCGCCACGCCGCGCCTGTTCGGTCTATAATATATCTTGTTGCTGCAAGCAGCAGCCGCGACAACGCCGTTCCAGGACAGCAACAGGTAGCGATGTATGGCGGACACACTATACTCTGTTTCATACTTAGCGTGCAACGCTGTCAAAGCTACTGGCGCGAGCGCGTGGCTTCATTTATGGTTTTGTTTGCGCGAGAACGAGTGCAAGTGATCAACGAGATCAAGCCCCACGCTCGCGCCAGTAGCTTTGACAGCGTTGCACGCTAAGTATGAAACAGAGTATAAATCCGGCCACGGGGGGGGGGGGGGGGGGGGGGGGGGGGGGGGTTGGGAGGGAGTAGTAACAGAAGCTTCGCAATACGTGGTGCGGTGAGCGAAGGCTCCGGCCTCCTGGTCGGTCGCTTTGTTGTGAGGGCAGAACCGACCAAAGAAGCGAGCGAGCAGGTGGATCTGAAAGATTTCTGTGGCGTTTCATTTGCGGTGAACAACAACGCAACAGAAGTGCATCGGTTGTTGTCACTCATTTCTGAAATTTTTGCTCGATGGCTTTGGCGCTTGACACATATCGAAATGGCTTGGGCAGCTTGGTCGAATTACAAACATAATGGTCATCTGCTCGAAGAAGAAGCAAAGGTTAGCGCTTTGTTGAATAAAGAAGAATACTCTATCAAGCTAACGACGTTAATAAAAAGGTTTCAAAGAATCGCTTTACAAGTATTCGTTTTACGCGAGGCTAGTCTCAGAACGAGTTTCTGGTGGCGTTGCGTTAGCTCTAGAGATTCTGTAGTCTGTGGCGGGTTGCGGACGTTCCACTGAAGCTTGTAGTGGTGGTTCCGCTACACTATATATATAGCAGAGGTTGTAGCGGATTGCGGCTAGCGTAGTGGGTGTGAGTGCATGATCTACTAAAACACTCTAATGGTTGCTGGTGCTTCATATCTGAAAGGGGGTTGAGCAGGAATGGTAATAAAAACACATGAGGCAGATGCAACTTTGCGAACACTATTTGCTTTGCAGCGTTAGACACTGTCTTTAATTTCATGAATGGCACCGGAGTGAGCATATGCCTGTGTGTGCTGATTTTTTGAACTTGCGCTTGGACAGCAGAAGTAACAGTATGCCTCTAAAGGAAAGCGCACTTTAAAAAGCCAGAGGGACTGGAACGTTCTCGTTCTAGAGCTCGGCATATACCTCTCGACAGGAAGCATATGTGGTATTCATTTTATAGCTGGGTTTGTTCCTGCTGAACGGGTACTGACGACGTGCTGCCACAACGTTTTCAGGAAGGATATTTTGCAACGTTAAGTTTCTAATTGCTGGCAGAGGATAAATTGGATAACGTTCTTAGCCATCGTCGTGAGAAACGCACAAAAAAATAACATAACTATGAAACGTTATTGTACGAAACATCGAACTATGTCATACTGAAAGCTTTGGAGACGAAAAGACATACCAAAGGGGACAAACACAACACCGTCTCAAAACACAGCTGCCTTTGTTATGATTATAATGCAATTGATGGAAAGGTGCAAGCGAGCTGGACAAGATGACAGAAATAATCACTGGAGAAGGGGAACAAGAGAATAATCTCTCTCGTTCCCCTTCTTTAGGGATTATTTTTGTCGTGCCTTTGTGTTTGTTTTGTAAAAACTGTGTGTTGCACAAAACAAATTGAGACATATACAGTAATTATACAAATAGTTAGACAATTTGTTTTTGATGATTATGGTGTAAGTTCAGTAAATTTAGTCAGTTAGTTGTGCTATAAAAATCTTAAGACGATTTAATGACCTTAAATTAACAATTATTTTCTATTTTTTTCCATCATATACAAAAAGAGGAAGACAAGGCAAAAATTTGATTTACTTGCAGCTTGACGACTTTTCGATTCTTGTACAGGCTGTGGCAGAAGAGAGTCAATATGATTCAAGGAAACTCATCAGGAAAACAAAATTAGTAAATTATAATGGGTCCAATTAGTAACGACAACACCGCCAGCTAGGAGTGGCACTTGAAATAAGGTATAAAACAATAAAAAACAGGAAAACAGCCAAGCAGCACAAAAATGTTTTTATCACTCAGATGAAAAAAAAAACAATTAACCAATATGACATGCACTTTGACTTTCCAGTACTATCAAAATATATATATTAAAGTTTATTAAACAGTGATGGGAATGCTTATTTTGTCAATCAATCACTCTGAGCTATATTGTATCATAAACAGCTGTAGGGCCTTGTGAGGGTTACACTTGCACAAACTGAGACAGCACTAAAATGTACATACTACACAGCAATCCTTAGTATTATACTGCTCTTGAACTTTTTAAGAGAACTGAAAAAAATCCATGTCAGGGTTAAAACACCTGTCGTACATGAGCATCATACGCGTTAGCGGAGGACTACATTCTAAATAAGAAGGGCAAGAAAAAGACGTGGATCTGTTTTGTTGCTGGGGGACATGAATTGAGATTCTACTCAATAACACCTGGGAATCAATGACAGCTTTGAGCAGGTTATATAATAACACCGTGTCGCGAACTAGTCATCTGGCCGAAAGAGGCGATAAACCAAGAGTGTCCAAAGAAGTTCATAATAAAAAAGAAAAAGACCACTCCGTTTAATGTGGCG